CCCCAAAACCCCAAAACCCCAAAACCCCAAAACCCCATAAGACTCACAGTGTAGTCACTTAAGGAGTTTTATATAGATAATATTGAAGAGAGATGAATGTGAGGAATAACTTAATTGTTAGACAGGTAATATATTAATTAACACTCTTCAATATCATTCCTCTTCTCCACCAGGTCTCATATTTCTACCGGCTCTCATAACCTCATCAACTAAAAGTAGTTGCTCAGCAAGGACTGGAGCAATATTCAGGAACTGACGTTTAACAATATAGTTATCATAGACGTGGGAAACAGTGATTGGCTGGGGCTCTCCAGTAATGACATCTACTCCGTATTGCTCTCCAGTTTTCTCATGAGCCTCCATAACCTTCAAGAGGGTCTCTTGTTGATCGAAACCTGAATTCTCAGCGAGAGTTCTTGGGACTACGAGGAGGGCGTCAGCAAAACATTGGATACCGAGCTTGACTTTGCCACTGACTGAGTCTCTCATGTAGTTGACAAGGTTTCTGTGGGCTGAAACTTCGAAGGCACCAGCACCAGCAATAACTGCCTTGTCATTGATGGTGTTTTGAACTGCTCTGAGACCGTCTCTAATGGCGTCCTTGGTTTGAGAAATAGAGTAGTCGTTGGGTCCCTTGATTAGGATGGTGCATGAGAATGGGTTCTCAACACCCTCGATGAAGGTGTACTTGTCGTCTCCGAGGGAAACCTCATAGACGAGCTTGGCGAAACCGAGGTCTTCTGGAGTCATGTCTTCAACTGAGTTGAGGCACTTACCTCCGCAAGCGAGTGGGATTCTCTCTTGATTTCTTCTCTTGGCTCTTCTGATTCCAATGATTCCTTCTCTAGCGAGAATTTCGAGAGAGGGTGGGTCAATACCCTTTTGGTTGATGACAACGAAGTTTTTGTTAGTTCCGTCGCAAAGCTTCTTTTTAAGTTCGACGATCTTCAATACTTTATCATCAGTGAATGCTCTCTCGCTGGCAATCAATTTCTCTCTTTATTCAGCATTAGACCAGAAGAATCCAGAGTGGACTTCAGTCTTCTCGTATTCGAGTGAGACGTTGAGGCACATAATGAAGCAGTTCTCTAGTCTAGATGGCATGTTCTCGTGTCTTCCACCGTGGTCGAGAACGAGTCCCTTAATGAGCTTAGACTCAGTGGACATCTTATGTTGCATATGCATGATTTCAATCATGTGTAAGTCAATTCTGTCGTCCTTCTTTATAGCGTTGACTGCATCAACGACGATTTCGGTGAGTGGGTTGGCAATTGATGGGTGAACTTTAGTCATCAATGAAGCCTTGGCGACCTCCATTAATAATTCTTTGGTGATCTCTGGTTGAGGAATTTTGGTTCTCTCGAGGAAAGCGAGAGTTTCTCTCTTGGCGAGTTCAATACCGTCTACGAGAATTCTTGGGTGAACACCTTCTCCAAGATATCTTTCAGCGATTCTCATGAGTTCTCCAATGAAAAGAACATTTGAGGTAGTACCGTCACCGACAATATCATCTTGAGCAGTGGCAGCTCTTCCAATCATAGCAGCAGTTGGATGTTGGATTTGCTATAATTAGCTTGTCAACATCAGATTTTGATAAATTGAGACTTACCATTTCGTGAAGCAAAACCTGACCGTCCTTAGTAATCTTAACTTGTCCCGCTCCTCCGACGAGCCTAAATTTTATTAATAAGCAAACCAAAGTAATAGTACATTTTCATGGTTCCCTTGGGGCCGAGGTTAGTCTTGAGGACTTCTTGGAGACCCTTAGCAGCTTGGATGTTGACAGCGAGGGCTTGTGATCTTCTTAGGACATCAGCCTTAGTATTTAAGAACTAAAGAGAGCTCATATTTTAAGTGTCTTTTAAATATTTATTAATTTAAATTATCAATCCTCCCTCCATTATATATAAACAACCTCATGGGGTTTTGGGGTTTTGGGG